ATATATTTACACACTAAACTATAAAATTTTATTTAAGGTTGAAATTATAAATAACAAAAAAAATCAATAAATAAACTTGTATATATTTGTGCAGGATACTTGAAAACAGTCCGCAAAAATTAAACTGAGCAAAATTAATACTTGTGGTTCTTCTGGAAAAATGACTGCTGGAAAATGTTCAGTTCTACAGTATTTGAGTTTTACTAGATAGATTTATGATTCATTTTTCAGTCATATCAAGAGCATCTGAAAGGAAAGAAACATGCACTTAGCATTGAGACGATTATGGAGACCAGCAAGAAGTCTGCTCCCTCAAAGTCAAATAAATTCAATAAGAAAAGTCAATCCTCATCTGAGAAAAAGGCAAAAACTTATTGTGATACATGTGACGTAGAATGCCACCAAGAAAAGGTACATTTATATAGTATTATGATTCAAAAAATGTACACAGTCGGGGAAAACAAAACGAAATGTTTTGACCTCCATGTGTGTATATCTGTATCTCTGACATGCCCAGTCTGATCACTTTCAAACTTTACAAATACATCACATATTTTAGGCAACATGTGCAAGTTCATTTGTTTCATGATAGGAATCTATTTTTGTGCTGAAAAATCATCAAAATCAAACTTTTCTGCCATTCTGGAACTGGATCTTGGCCATGTACGAACAAATTTTATACAAACATAATGTATGCATTGGACATCATGGGGGCTTGATGCATCGCGTTCAAATGGCCAACTGGTGGCCATTTTGTACCATGAATATTTTTCTGAAACCATCACCTTTGACATGTCTTGACTCTTGTGATAAATATGTATGTGTATTAGTTTTGTGATCAGATTTAAGATGGTCACTTGCAACCATATACTTTGAGAACCATATCATCATTCCTTCTTTTTTTATGCCGCCATATTGTGCTGTGTGGAGAACTCCGCTACAAATTAATTTTAAAAATTTTTCTTTGCTGTCTAGTCTCTGGCTATTCATCTGAAAACAAGCAATCATCAAAGAAAAGTCAAAGAAATAAAAAATGATAAAATGTCTGCTGCTAATAAAGCTCATGTTGCAGTAAGTACTTTGCAAACTAAATGACTTTCAAATAATACTAATATCGTCTTGGATGGGCTGTTGCTCCCCGACTAAAAAACCCGCCTATCGTGTGCTAATATTGTAAAGTACTCGGGTGATTTTAAAATGACAATTTCAGAGCAATTGCAATTGACATTATGTGTCACTTGTCGCCCCACTTTATGTGCAAGTGAGTGCTGACATATAGTGAAGGAACTGCAGTAGACTTGTCTGGCTGATTTTGACAGGTCACAAATGGACAGTATAGTTCAAAGATGTTAAACTTACAATGTCTTCTACTCTGCAGAGCATGTTTGAAATGAGCATCGCTTGTGGCTTTGGTAGATCTGATAAAATTACAACTGTTGAAGAATTGATGGCATACAAAAAGGTGAGTTGCTATATTTGGTTTTCATTCATTGCTAGACTGAACCCTGACAAAGTTATTTTGACTATAAAATGTTTTTTTTTTGTGTGTTAAAACTAACTATTCTAATTCGATTATTTAGTCATTCATTTTTGAAACTTGTTACATCACCTCAAAAACAAGTAAAATATTCTTGAGTAAAACTGCATGACAGGACCACTTCTATGTGGTGTGCATTTTTTATTTAAAACATTTTATTTGAGCCATGACATTCTTGTCTGAATTTTCATGAATATCTTGTTAGATCTGGCCAAAAATGAGATTAGTTGGTGTCAACTGTTGAAAATTCATTAAATTTAAATTGGTTTCCAGCGGATAACAGTTGCTGATAAGCTTGCTAAAACGTTCAAGAGTACGGACACCCCAGATGCTGACCTTTGCTTAATATGTGCAAGAAAAATTACAAAGAAAGAGGTAAGTTCAAATCATTCCATGATGAGAATTTACTTTAGGCTTATTCTGTTTAGAAACTTGACAAGTGCCTAAAAACATTTTCACACCAATATCTGTTGGGTTGTTTACGCATTACTCAAAATATAGATGCAGGTTCCTGAGTAAATTAAAATATAGGAAATGGGCACAAACATATCTTTTGAACACTTATATAGATTTATAAGGCTGTGCATAAATAGTAAAAAAGAAACATGAAATTTTGATGACAGAATCTCCATACTGTCAAATACTAGATCTCACAATTTTTGTTTATTTTATGTGAAACTTCCACACTATATTCGTAAATTGTGTATTAACAAATGGATGTCCAGGCAAGCAGATTCCAAATGTTAACACTATCTTGGCCAAGACTGAGTAAGAAAAACCGCAAAAAAAGTCATTCTGGGTGCCCACAAACCTGCATCTATACCTTAACTGGAAGGTTAAAACATGGCCAAACCCTTTTTAATTGGATGAAGTCCGAAAATGTTAATGATTTGGCATTTTTCTATCTAAAAGCCATGTCAATGATATAATTAAAATCAAACATTTGTCAAAATTTGTCTGTTTCAGAATAGTGAACTGTTCTGAAACAGACAAATTGACAAATTTTGTTCCAGCTTGGTCTATACAACATTATACATTGGTACCTAAGTTGGTGCTTGTTATTTAGTTTTTAGATCAAATTAAAACTTACCAACTAGTGGTTATTTTGTTTTAATAAATATGCTTAAGACAAATCTGACATGGCTTGTTTATCATGGGACATGTACTTCTATATGAACTACAGACAGAAACTGCATCGTATCATATCATGTCATTGTCTATTTACTTACAGCAAGATGCACATTGCAAGTTAGATCATCATATGAACAATATTGAGTCTTTTGAAAAACTTACCAAGTGGTTGAATTTATTCACATTGATGGTTGATCCTAATAAATGTACCGAGGCATTCAAGGAAATTGTAAGTAACTAATCTCATGTTTCTTTGCTTTCATGCCTGATAAACTTTTGGAATGTCTTGATGACTGCTTTTACAATAAAATTCAATCTTTGACTTTGCTCTTTAGTTGTAGATGAATCTTTCTATGAAGATTTCTGAGTTCTGGTGACACTTATTTTAATGATCTATCACACAATAAATGCAACTCTTTCAGCTTTTATTTGAAATAATTTATATTCCTGCATCTTGTGTTAAGAATCAGCTGTGAATATGTTACGTGTTATTTATTTTGTAGGACTCGCTTGAGAAATCGCTGAAGTCTGTTGGTAAACCACCATGTCCATTTTGTACACTCAAAAATAAAAATGTCAAGGTAATTGTGTATTATCACAGATATTAATCCAATGCGTGTAGTTGTATATGGTTGTATGATGTGGTTGTATGATGTGCTGATGTGGTTGTAT